GATGTCGTACTTTGTGGGGATTTTAATGCACGTTGTGGAAATCTATTAGACTTTGTGTCCTCGGACGGTGCAGATCATCTTCCAATTAGTAATGACGATTGTCCAGTTGATTTCAGCTTGAATGTTAGAAACAGCAGGAATACAACAGTTGATACTAGAGGTAAAGAACTGATTGAATAATGCCTGAGTAACCAAATTCGTTTTTTAAACGGTAGAACTTTGGTTTATTCTTTAGGAAAATATACATGCTATAATCACATGGGTACCAGTGTCGTCGATTATTTCCTGGCTTCAGATAGTTTGTTGAAAAACATTTTGTATTTGAATGTTTTAACTTTTAATCCAACTTTAAGTGACTGTCACTGTAAATTATCATGGAAAATTCTTAACCATCATTTCCTTGACATAAATCCACAGCAGGATTCTAAAGTTATGAGTAGTAAATTCAAGTGGCAATAAGCAGGGTAAACGTACCAACGAAAAATTTACTCTACAGCAAGTTGAACTGGAATGTGTACAGGACTATTAAGTATTTAGGTCTTATTTTTTTTGCTTCAGGGGTCTTCTCTCATACAAGACGAATTGTACAAAAAGAGTCTAAAAGGCTATTATAAACTATGCAAAGATGTTATTCGTTCACATCCAAAAATTACAACCAGTCTACATCTATTTGATCATATGATCAAACCTATTTCTTTATACTCCTCTGAAATTTGGGGTACGTTTAACCCAAAGAGTAGTAAATTTAGAAATCGTATACACCTAGATAAAATTTATTGAGATCTTGAACCAGATAATTTACACATGAAAATAACAAAATTTATTTTGGGTGTTAATAGAAAGAGCAGCAATTTTGCTGTTCTATCTGACCTGGGTAGATTTCCTATTTATATAAGTCTTATGAAAAACTTATTGAATTATCATTTTAGAATTGAAAATACGCCTGAGGACTCTTTATTGTATAAAACCTTACAGACCTCAAAATATTTAGATAATAATAATCACAATAATTGGTATAGCAGTGTCAGACACCTATGTAAAATTATTGATCTGCCTTGTAACTTTATTAATTTTAGTAAATACAAATTCAGAAAAGTTTACTTAGTTGTTTAAAAGTATCCTATGTTAAATCTTGGGAGAATGCTTATAACCTAAATAGCCAAGGAAAAATAAGAACATATTGTCAATTTAAAACATCATTTTATAAAGAAAATTATTCAAATATCTTGAATAATTTTGATCTGAGAAAAGCTATTACAATGTTCAGGATTTCATCTCATCGACTCAAAATTGAAACTGGGAGATACTCCAAATTAGAAGTACATCAAAGAATTTGTACTAAATGCGATTTCAATAAAATGGAAGATGAACTTCATTTTCTTATAGAATGTCCTGCATACTCTAAGGATAGAGATTAGTTATTTGATCTGATCTTCAAAGAATGTAAAAACTTTCACTCCTTAGATATGGTTAATAAATTTATCTGGTTATTAAACTGCGAGTCTATTAATATTTTGAAACAATTTGGCTATTTCTTATCAAAACACCTGCCTTGAGTAAACATGTATTTTGTAACACTGTGACACTTTTAGCAATATTTATAATATCTAACTTTAGTATACTGTTTTGCTGTTCTCCTTTATTGTATTTGTAATTGTAACTATATAATGTCATATATGTATATGCACTTTGCCCCTTGAGGAAATTTATTCTATTCTATTCTATTCTATTCTATTCTATTCTATTCTATTCTAGTCTAGTCTAGTCTAGTCTATTCTAGTCTAGTCTAGTCTAGTCTAGTCTAGTCTATTCTATTCTATTCTATTCTAGTCTATTCTATTCTAGTCTATTCTAGTCTATTCTAGTCTATTCTAGTCTATTCTAGTCTAGTCTATTCTATTCTATTCTAGTCTAGTCTAGTCTAGTCTAGTTACTTGGTTCTTGCATGATATAGAAAAAAATATGTTTTACTGTAAATTTTCATCTAAATGATAATGTACTTTAGCACATTATGAGACTCCCTTTTAGCAAAATTGACCTGAAACGATTTTTACGTTTAAGTTTTTGCTCATTCAACGTGTGATCCCCGAAGAAGAATACTATAATATATATTCAGTATGAAATTTTTATACCCGATGTTTTTATTACCCTTGACCGCCTTAATATGTAACTCTAGACATTCCGGGTGATGATAAAATTGCTTGAAATGCAGTTTGCTTCAGTTCTTGGAATGGTTAAAAGAAACGGTGGTAAAGATAGTCAGTGTAAATATGCTACAATTCTGAGAATAAATTCCAACAATATATTTTAACGAGAAATTGACGATTTAAAGTATTAAAGAGCTTGCATTGGAAATTCGATATTTCAATGCATGCCATAGTGATATATTGATGAATTAAGTAAACAAAACATTAGAGGTCAGAGGCAAAAAATTGGAGATTATTTTAATTTATGGAATTAATTTCCTTCAAGCATAGTTCCGATTCATTGTCCGAGTTTGTTTTTACTTTTGGGCCTTTTTTATTGTATTACCTCTTCAAAGTTTTGTTAAGGTTTATTTATAAGATTTCAGTTTGGGTCAACTAAACTTACACTATGTATTTGGTTTTCAGTTTGATTTAGAAGAAATACCGACATAGCTAGATAATACAATTAATTATCTAATTACTAACACAATCTTATTTTAATAAGTATTGTAATTTTCATTGTTATTAAATACATGTTATATCAGTATTACAAACCTAATCTTGAATTCTATCCTATTTTTTGGAATTCTTTCGAAATTTACCTGTGTCGTCACTTTTGTGCGTCGATCAATTCGGCTGACATACAATGCGTTGTTCGGCTTTGCTGTTTTTATGTGCTGAACTAGGTTGTTTTACGTATTCTTTTTTATTCTGTATTAGTCACCACTTCGGTGTTAACATGTATATCTATTATATGGTAATTTTTATAAATTTACCGTTTACAAAAACATGAATTATTCTAAATACTAAGGGTTTTCTTATCCCAGGCAGATAACCTTAGCCATGTTTGGCACAACTTTTTGGAATTTTGGGTCATTAATGCTCTTCATCTTTGTTTGGCTTTGTTTGCTATTTTGACCTGAGCGTCACTGGTGAGTCTTGTGTAGACGAAACACGCGTCTGGCGTATTTAATTAGAAGCCTGGTACCTTTAATAACTAATAGCTTGTCGTAATGTTCTATTGTATTGTTTATTTGTGTGTATCTCTGTTCTGTATGTTCTTCCATTTATTTGAATTGTAGTCATGTCATGTCATGTTGTCATTTTAGTGTTATATTTAACATTGCCATTAAAGCGGGAGGTTTGGCTAGCCACAAAACCAGGTTCAACCCACCATTTTTTCTTAAAATGTCCTGTACCAAGTCAGGAAAATGGCTATTGTTATCTTATAGTTCGTTTCTGTTGTGTCCTTGTTCTCCTCTTATAGTTAATGTGTTTACCTCAGTTTTAGTTTGTAACCCGGATTTGTTTTTTCTCTCAATCGATTTATGAATTTCGAACAGCGGTATACTACTGTTGCCTTTATTTGAGCATCACTGAACTAACATTTATTGTCGAAATCCGCATCTGGTGCAATGAGTTTAGTAATGTTAATGTTATTGCAGCCGAATTCATACAAAACTGTCTCATTTGGTTCTCAATGCTTTTCAACTTCGTAATTTCTTTGGCTCTTAACTTTTTTGATTCGAGCGTCAATAATGAGACTTTTGTGGACAAAACGCAAAGACAAAAAGAAACACACATCTTATTAAATTCTTTAATTTCACTATCAGATATATTGATGATTTCCTGTCACTCAATAACCCACATTCCAGTTAGTGCTTGCATCTCATATCCCCTAGCTTACTTGAGATCGAGGATACTAACGTAATTAAAAGATATGCTTCATATCATAATATTTTCCTCGATATCAGCTCAGATGGACGACTTCAAGCCACGAAATATGCTCAACATGATAATTTCCAATTGTCAACTTACCATTTCTCAACATAACATACCCTCTGTCCTATCGTATGGCGTTTACATACACATCTCTATTTGTTATGTTACGTTCGTGCATGTTCACATAATATTGGTTTCATTAGCAGTACTGTGGTATTCACATTATACAAAAACTGTTTCAACAAAGATTTGGGGGTGAACGAGTAAAACCGACACTACACAAGTTCTACGGTCACCATGTCGATTTGGTTGACCGATATGATATGTCTAAGTCTCAACTCACTAGCAACATGTTTTCGTAATCTTAGATCTTAAGATAATGGAATAGTCGTCTTTTTTGTACTTTTACCGATTATGTCCTATTCTCGATTTAGATATTTTGAGTGTCGATTCTCGTGGCCTGTGATTCATGCATAATATGAAACGCTTATCCTGTCAATCATCCGGTTTAGCTCCTTTGGAGTTCATGCAATCCCCTCAGTTTTGGTTTGTTACCTTGATTTGTCTTATTAACATATTTAGAGATTAAAACATCGGTCAACTAATGTTGTCTTTATGTAGATGAGAAAACGTTATACAAATTATGCTATTCGTTTTAGCTATTTAGTCTTTTTACAGACATGGCTATCCTCTATTTACAAAATTTACCTTATTCTATAATCAATAGGTCACCTGAAAAGACTTTGTCAATTTACGTTTTCTGAAAATTAAACCTTTTATTCGTATTGAATATGGTATAAACTAAAATATATTATTATGACACACTGCCATTTGAATTACATGTGGCAATCTTATTTAAGAACATCAAAATTCCGATGTTTGTATTTAGTTTATTGTGAATAAAATTTAAAAATAATAAAGTCATCGATAAATATTCGCACTATCTGTTTTCCGAAATTGTCTTTAATCATTCGTATGCGATACGTATAATCTAATTATAGAACTACCCTATCAAACTTTATGAATCTAATTTTAGACAGAAAAATCCCTGCGTTTTTTTTATTAGTATAAATACCGTTTCAGAAAGATTGAACTTAATTCATATAGATATTTATGTTTTAAGCTGAAAATGAATACGTCAATCATCATGTTTACAATTTCAATTATAGTAATTATAGAATTACCTGGAATATTTGCAGCTCCTGCTCAGTAAGTATATATTTTATAAATTCATATCAAATTTGATTTTATTTTATTGTACAGTTTAAATATAAAATATATAATCACAATTTAGATTCAGTAGGATCTAGGGTTTCGTTCTCTTGTCAATTGTCCTTCAATTGGTCTTTATTCAATTATGCATTCGTCTATCATTTCTTCCATCCTACCATGAAAGCTCCTTTTTAGAAAACATATCACTGGGTCTGGAACTCGGGGATTGGAAGCACATTAATCCTTTTGAGATAGGGACGAGCGGCTGAAACATCAAGTACCTCACCCTTTGCATGTATTTGGAATAACAAAAATACAAAACGAATCATATATTTTTTGACAAAAGATAGCTATCATGCTTGCGCTATAAAGTAGAGATATATCTACTTGATGCATTTACGACTGTTTAAATCGCATCCATCCATCGCAATATTATTAGTTTCAGATACTGTTGATTCAATCAAGTATATCTAGTCCAAACTTCTCGCCCTTATCATAAATAAGATTTAAATAGTATATTCCAGCAGCTCATCCATACCACTCATTACATAATAATTGCCCCATCCCCCCCAACCCCCTCCCCGAGGATTGACAAGTTGTGAAAGTTGCATACCGTAAAAGTATGACGGATTTATTGATTTATTCACCTTTGTTTTAACGTCCAAAGGCTCACATTTCATGCATTCTCAGTAGGACATAAGCTTGGAATTGCGTTATCATTCTTTTCTTTTAAATTTCATTTACACTTGTGAAATGCCAAGTTTTGAAATATATTCTTTTTGAAAACAAGGAGATTTGTAATTATTGCCAATGAGACGATTTATATACCAAAGATCAATGGACAAGGAAAATTTATTTTTTTTATTTTTCAGATCTTCACAGCTTAATGTGGTCGAATATAACCAAAGAAGTCAACAAAATGTAACTCAGAACAGCAAAGGACTGATGTCTAACGTGGACACCCATCTTACTACTACACAAAATGATACTGACATTTTTCACCATGACTCCAGAAACAAACATCAAACGGACAAAAATGTAAGAAAAGTATCAAAAAGAAATCATCATATATCAAAGAGAGATATGGACAGAAAACATCATATATCAAAGAGAGATATGGACAGAAAGCATCATATATCAAAAAGAGATATGGACAGAAATCGTCATATATCAAAGAGAGATATGGACAGAAAACATCATATACCAAAGAGAGATATGGACATAAGTCATCATATATCAAAGAGAGATATGGACAGAAAACATCATATATCAAAGAGAGATATGGACAGAAAGCATCATACATCAAAAAGAGATATGGACAGATATCATCATATATCAAAGAGAGATATGGACAGAAAGCATCATATATCAAAGAGAGATATGGACAGAAAGCATCATATATCAAAGAGAGATATGGATAGAAATCATCATATATCAAAGAAAGATATGGACACAACTTGAAACCAAGTTACAGTCATTATTTCCGTTTCCTCTATGTTTTTACATAAACTCAATATTTTCATAAGAATTTGAGAAATGATGATCATTCAACTGACAAAATGCTATTTAGGGATCAAAAAGAAATTATCGTGTGTCATGAGATATGACAAAACTAGAAGCAATCCTTCAGTCATAATTGCCGTTTTTATTCTAGAACTTTACAGAAACTGGACATGCAATTGATAGGAAACAAAGGCAAATTACAAAACAATTACATATCTAACTTTTATTGCTATGAGTAAGGAAAGAAGTGACTCATTGCTGCATGTTTAAAGCTAGAATAACTGTGGAATTAAATGGGTTCCGTGAAATGACCCGAAGTAAAGGCAAGTTTCGAGCAAAATATCTTATTCGGTGAACGAAAGAACATTTCGCATGATAAGCAATAACATTCACAGTTATGAAATTCAATGCGGACGATACGGAATCATGTTTAAAAGTAGACCCGACGCAAACACTCATAAATATGCCGAAAAGTCAAAAGAAATTGGGCATAAATTAGATGATTGAATAATGGAAGGACAACTCCACTTGAGTTAGATAAATATAAATGTCTACTTTTGAACAGAAATAGTTTTGCAAGAGTAACTAATAAATCAAGGTAGTACCAGAAATCTCTTTCCGTGATGGAAGATTATGTTTTCTTTTGAAAACTGAATAAAATACTACAAACATATGGACTGTTGGGTTGATAGTCCTAGTTTGTATAAGAAGTTGATTAGAGCTACATTTCCTGCATGGAGATTAAGAAGCTGCTGTCGAAGTTTTTAATATAAGATTAACAGTGTTTAAATGGAAAATGTATGGTGAAATAAGAACAATATGTGTCTATGTGTTTTGATAATTCATTAATGGAGATTTAGATAATTTGGAAAATAGAGAGAGGAGTGAACAACGTAAGAATGGTATATTTTTTCAAGTTTCTATGTATAAATGCAAAGATGTATAATCATTATTATTTCAGTTCACATAAATCAGTTTGTAATTTATAGTTTGATAAGCGAACATTCTTGTCTAATAAATCATTGTGTGTTTTATTTGGGGTTTGTTTTTTTTTATATTTTGTTTTGCCTTGTTTTATTTTGAAAATTACTTGCCTTATATTATGGTGATCTCTAAAGGTTGCACTTTGTAAATACAGCTGATTAACAAACCACGCCTCTTTTGGAGAGATATTTAATATTGATAGATATTTAGGTTTTTTTACCTACTGGTTCTCAGGTGTGATCTCCATGTTTCATCTCACAGAGACACAACTTGGGAAGTTTACCAGTATAAATACTGATAGATAGCAGACACATTGAATTGTCAGGAAGAATCAAAGTAAAGGGAGGGGTAGTACAGAGTTTTAGTATACGTTTAAACACTTAGAAGTTCAAGGCATTTAAATTTTGAAAATATGCCTCACAACCCTATGTTTTGACCTTTGCAAAAAATAGTAGTGCATATGAACTTTTCATTCCGGGATATGATTTTTTTACGAAACTTCATAGTAAAAGTGTCACAGTTTTAGCCGTAAAAGGAGTTCCTATGGGAAAAAGTAAAATAACAAAAATACCGAACTCCAAGGAAAATTCAAAACGAAAAGTCCATTATCAAATAGCAAAATCAAAAGTTCAAATACATCAAACGAATGGAAAACAACTATCAATTTCCTGACTTGGTACAGGCATTTCTTAATGTAGAAAATGGTGGATTAAACCTAGTTTTATAGCTAGCTAAACCTCAAACTTGTATGACAGTCGCATAAAATTCCATTATATTGACAACAATGTGTGAACAAAACAAACAGACATAATAGGTAAAAATGTCAAAAATTTGGTGACTATGTTGAACGCATCTATCCCATCGAACTTGAGATAAGATATACAACAGATACAGTCAGGTCTGCCTCATATCTCGACTTACATCTAGAAATTTACAATGATTTTTGATGAAAACAAAACTTTACGACAAAAGAGATGATTTCAGCTTCCCAATTTTGAACTTTCCATTTCTATGTAGCAACATTCCAGCAGAGCCTGCATACAGAATATATATCTCCCAGTTGATACGATATTCCAGGGCTTGTATTTCCTATCATGATTTCCTTGATAGAGGGTTGTTGCTTACAAGCAAGCTATTAAACCAAGAGTTCCAAGTGGTGAAGTTGAAATCATTCCTTCGTAAATTTTACGGGCGCCATCAAGAGTTGGTTGACCGTTATGGAACATCCGTTTCACAGATGATAGCGGATATGTTCCAATTGTCGTAACTACAATACCGTCCCCTTTTCACTGAATGTGACCTATTGGGTTAGACTTATTACCGGAATAGTACTAACATGAGCAACACGACGGGTGCCACATGTGGATCAGGATCTGCTTACCCTTCAGAAGCACCTGAGATCACTCCCAGTTTTTGGTGGGGTTCGTGTTGCTCAGTCTTTAGTTTTCTATGTTGTGTTTTGTTTACTGTTGTTTGTTTGTCTTTTTCTTTTTTAGCCATGGCGTTGTCAGTTTATTTTCGACTTATGAGTTTGAATGTCCCTTTGGTATATTTCGACTCTCTTGTACAGCAGTCAACATTGTGTTCTAATCTTAATCACTATAAAAAGAAACAAATATGTCAACAAAGAAAAACAAAATTGCATATAGACAAAGCACATTAGCAAAAATGTAAGACAGGAATGCAAAAAATTACCATAGCACAATAACACAATGGCGGGATGTGTAAGTACCGAGACACGCCAAAAGGATATTACAAAAAATGGACTAAAAAGTAAGGGTTAATAATTTACAAAGACAAATAAAAGAACACTTTAACACGTATTTAAGATGATAAACAACGTCAGTACCTAGAATCTATAATTTAAGACCATCATGTATTATTTGTGAAGTTGATACGGAATATTTATCAGCAAGGTGGTGGTATCTTCCGATGAACTTTTTTTAGAAAAAGGACGATACGTTCTTTAATACAACCCTGGTTCATCAATTTTCTGCTCAGACACTGGTGACGTTTTATAAAGTCTGAGTAGCATTACCTATATTTACAGAAATGCAACCTAATTTTCATCCAAAAGAAGCTTATTTTGATCCGAGCGTCACCGATAAATGTTTTCATTAATAATTAATATCGTCAGTTGATGCGCAAGACCAAAATATTTGAAAATTCAAAACTTTATACAATCGTTTTTGGGCTGATCTTTAATCCTGGTATCTATGATGAGTTCATTTGCTTGACATTTTGTGTGGTATTGTTAATTCTCGGTAAAAGTATTGTAATAAGGATCGAAATATAAAACCCAAGAAATATAACAGAATGTATCGCCTGTGAGAATTGATCTGAGTCCTACCTCTTTCTTTGTTAAATATTTGAACTTTTGGCGATGATTTTTTAAGGATCTGAAACGTCAGGATGTTGCTCATACTCATCATACAAAGAGAAATACAAAGCTTAGGTTCAGTAAAAGGCAAAGAAAAATCATAGATTAAAATATGGTTAATTATCAATTGATTTATTTGTTCGTTGATATATTATATTTTCATTATCGTAGTTTGAAAGCCTAGTGATAGTTACTATACGCAAAAAAGAAACAATAGAATTTATTTAAAGTTAATGAAATTTTCCTATATTATTTGGAAACAATAATCTGAAATTCTGTTGCCTTGATTGATTATTATGTGATCACGATATCGTGATTAATTCGATGATGGTGATAATATTCATAATAATACAAATAGTACTTGTAGTACTAGAAGAAGTAGCAAAGCAAGATGAGGTCAATGGACGATATTTAAGACAATGCACTGTTCATCAAATCTGTCATAAAACAGTAGGCTGATGATACTCTGCACACCAGTACATATACACAAAAAGGTTGATGTGATATCAGTTAAATGCCAATAAGCAAACGAAAACATTGAAACATGATTTATTTATCAATCAATTAACATAGTTTGAAATATTGTTTCATTCATCTATATATATACATTTACTTTGTCTCAAGTTCAGCCCAACAATCCTGCCTTATCCCTGATTATCAGGATTTGATCCTTTTTGACTTGATGGCAACACCTCCATTGCATTAATAAAGAATGAACAAGAGCCAAGCACTTGTTTACGATATTTCAGTTTTCGATTTTTCAAACATGATGTGAGGAGGGATTCATCAAATATACCAGATCCCAGAACATGATTGAATTGTATAACATTAATTAGTGATACTACGAGATTTTTGGGATACAAATCATAACAGAAGATGGCTTGAGTTGTAGAAAAAATAATGTTGTCCGGGTTAGGCCCTACTTTAGATCTAATTGGTTTTATCAGCCCAAAAACGATTGTATAAAGTTTTGAATTTTCAAATATTTTGGTCTTGCGCATCAACTGACGATATTAATTATTAATGAAATGCGCATCAGGTGTGGTAAAAGTGATACCATTAATATCATTTCACTCGTTCATTAACTTCATAGATAGTTAGACACTATAAACAATTAGTTGAAGATGATGTCTTCAATATAAAAAAAAAATTCTACAATTGAGCATGTATACCAAAATGAGTTAAAGACAATGAATATAATGATGTTCTGATGAACATATTCAAATATGTACATATATATAAGATGTGGTATGAGTGCCAATGAGACAACTCTCCATCCGAGTCACAAATTGTAAAAGTAAACCATCAAAGTACGGCCTTCAACACGGAGCCTTGGATCACACCGAACAGCAAGCTATAAAGGGCCCCAAAAAATTACTAGTGTAAAACTATTCAAACAGGAAAACCAACGTCCCAATCTATATAAAAAACGAAAAACGAGAAACACATATGAACCACATGAACAAACGACAACCACTGAACATCAGGTTCCTGACTTAGGACAGGTGCAAACAAATGCAGCGGGTTTAAACGTTTTAATAGGCGCCAACCTTCATCCTACGTAAAACAATAGCGTAACATCACAACATAGAAAGACACACTCTAAAATATCAATTGAAATGGCTTAACTCAATCAAAATACATATTAACAAAAACAAGTGAACATACACTGAACAAATAAATTTGATCTATGACAATGTAAATATAAAATTAATAAAACAAGGGGGTTAGATGTAGAACAATAGCAAAAAGACAACCATAACCTTGGACAAAATGCCGCCAAATAAAATAACCTACACAGGTAAATAAAATAAATTTGTTGTAAGGTATACATGGAGTACGGAAATATTGTTTACTTCTTCTTCTTCTTCTCTCAGTATAAGCTTCCTTTTCTGTGAGTTTGACTGTCCCTCTGGTATCTTTCGTCCCTCTTTTGTAAGGAACACCAAGGATAAAATCCAAGTATTGGTTATATTTACATATGTTTTTAAAAGTTAATGTCCAACTGTATTATACACGGTAAAACTTTTCTATTTACACATAAAATCCAACTGTCATTTATGAATAATAAAATTCAGATTATACAGACTGATAATTGCCTATTTTAGACCGTCAACCATCCATTGCCTCAAGCAACTTTAATTAAAAAGCGTTTTATATAGAGTTGATAGCACATCTCCCTAGTTTTGGCTTCTATCGTGTTCATGATATTTATATCTGCTAGTATTTGAGAAAAATGTCTACAGTCTACAATCAGCCTGATAATGTTTGGTTTAAGTTGAAATACACTGTGCCATACTTCTTCTGTTGTATGTTGAATAACATAGTCCTTGATAGATTCAAAATATGTAATTCTAGTTTTGGATAACAGTGGACAATCCAAGAGAAAATGAGAGATATTTTCCTCATAAAGATTACATAACTGACAAAGTGGACAAGGTGATTGATTAAATTTTGCTCTTTCAGAATTGAGTTTAAATGTTCCTGAAACTATTCTAGTTTTTCGAACTTCAGCTTTTGTCTTATCAATGATATTTCAGACTGTGTGATTTTTGCCAATAAGAAGGTGATTAGTTTCCATATATCTTAGAGTTGATTTAGATTATAAAAATAAATAATTTTGTTGTTCATAGTACGAGAACAGAAGTGAAAATTTATCGTCATACCAAA